AAGAGTCTTGTTACGTGTCCTTTTTTCGAGAGGACAACGGGGTACTTGACTGCCTTTGCAATTTCAGCTTTTCTGAGGCGACCACCAACTCGTAGCAGACTGTCACAGTCAAAGAAGGGATCCATGTTATAAAGTGTACTGGCCTTCTTCGCGATCTTCATTGAGGTGCGATCCTGGGAAGTCCTTTCACCAGGGGAACGAAGCAAGCTAATTCCCCTTGAAAGGGGTTCTCTTGAACACTCTTAACAATTTCCCGTTCTGCATCTTGGAGCACTTGAGTGTTTAGAGGGATGTATGCATTTGTTCTCGATTGCTTGAGCTTCATTGTCTCCGCTTCAGGTTTCTTGGGAGCATTAGTGCGCACGCTTTCATATTTGGCTAAATTCTAATTCTTCATTCTTGTTTGGAATTTCTTCTGTAATTGCAAACAAATTGCAACGGCTCTTTTAGCTCTGTGCCAGCAGGAGAAGTAGTCTATACGTTTGGGAAGGGAGAAGTGCCCTAAGGTTTGAGTAGCCATCGCGATGATCTTCATTACTTCGGGATCTCCTGGAGAAAGGTAAATGGCTTCAGAACCATCAGGGCAAGGGTGATCTTCTAGTTGTTTCAAAGGAAATCTGGGCCGTTCCACCAACATGAACTATCCACTAGGTTCTGCACAGTTAGACCACAGGAAGCATCGTCTGCTGGGTTAAGTTCCTTTTCCACGTACTTCCACTGGTCAGGTGGCATACAGTCTCTACTCTGTTGGACGCCATTGGCAACGAAGGTGTGGAAGCGCAGTGCATCATTAGAAATGTAACCGATTACAACTTTGCTACCTGTCCAAAAGACTTCGGTAATTTGCCCGTATTCAAGTTCCTTTCGGAGTACAGCACTAATCTTAACTGAGACCAATACAGCTGTTAGTTCGAATCTTGTAATTGTTACAGGTTTCAGGGGGACCACACGTGATTTAGCCATTGCGAGAGAACTGTGAATCTGATTGCATTGGTTTATGAGCCTGACGTAGGAACACTGCCCATAGGAGTCCTTTCTGGCAAGGAAGAAATGGTGCCGGTTTGAGTTCTCCGAACCCTTCTGCTTTGAAGCATCTGGAAACCTTGAACTCTGAAAGCAGGTGAAGGTCACTTCTCCATTGTTCCCGTTTCATTCTTAATGGTTCTGGAACCTTGTCATCCCAGTCTGCCCCCGTCGCGACAGAACTCTTGCAGAATGATTTTTCCTGTCAGAATCAGAAGGGTAAGCAGACCAAGAGGATCAAACACAGAACTGACTGTTGACAGGATTCCTGTTCTCGTAAACGGTTGATCCTCTAGTACGACTCCACGCAGCACTGTACGCCAAGAGCGGGCTCAACTGGAAGGCTCTCTTTGGTGAAGTCTAGATTCTGAATATTCTTCGACAGATCTTGTAGAGGGATGGCATCTATTACCGCTTTGCGTTCTTAACTAAGGCTATAGCTGCTTCAGAAGTTGAAACGGATTTCAGGCCGTCATCCACATAGAAATCGTTCTGTAGGAAGTTAGCTGCTTCTTTTCCATAATTAGATGTCCAAAGTCACTTGCGACCTTCTTTAAGGCGAAGTTAGCACAGCCTGGAGAGGAAGTAGCACAGAAGTGATGTACAGTCATTCTATACTCCTCTGGATCGCTGTCGATATTGCTACTATCCCACCAGAAGAAGCAGAGAAAGTTGCAGTGCTCTGGGTTGACGTGGACCTGGTGGAAAATGCCTTCGATATCACACATGACAGCTACTGGCTCCTTCACAACACGTCCACCATGTTGTTTGTTAGGTGCAGGCCTTGGAGGAGGTGTCTATTGAGGATTTGCCTGCAATTTCCACGCTACAGTCGAAAACAACTCTTATCTTTCCCTGCTTTCTTGGGTGATACTCTCCATGGTGCGGAATGTACCACACGTGTCAATTATTTGTTTAAATTCTTCGGCTGGAATTTTCTCCGTGTGACGTCGGCTGATAATATCACTCATAAAGGCCAGGTAATCTGTCTTATATTTGCTGTCAGACTTGAGCCTTCCTTTCAGTTTCTTGAGACGTTTCAGAACGACTTCCTTGTTGTTATGCAACATAATTGATTCTTGCTTGAACTGTAGTGGCATCTCATATTGACCATCACGTCTTTGATGAATCCCTTCATTAACCTTTGATAGAACCTTCTGTCTTCATGACAGAGAAAATGTTCCTCAGTCCTTGTCACCGTAAAATCAAACTCAAACGTTCGGTTCACGTGAACCAGGTTCAGAACTGGCTCCAACGTGTGCGTCGTAAGGGCGAAGTGACTTCAGGAGACTTCACATGAGACTATGCGATGAACAGCCACCTTTTGCAATTCCATCTACTGAGCTCTACCATCCTGAAGATCCCCAGATGAGTGCAGTGCGTTGGGCGTAGGGATCATCTTCGTTTCCTGGAATGACTTCTCTTGGTTTAATGGCGCGAGCGCACTTAATGCCAAGAACTGAGCTGACATCAAGATCTTCCTTATAGGGCGTGAGCTGATCTGTGATTCTCGCAACTTGTTTCACGATTTTCCTGATCTACGGGCTTATTTTCCTTGTCCCGTTGAGCTGCTGCATCGTCATGTAGTGAGGTGGGATGTCGGCGGTTACAGATATTACATGTCCTCCCTCCTCTACGTTCTTTACACAAATTGCGCTACTTGAGGCATCCCCAGCAAAGTGCATTGGCTTGAGCAAGCTTTTTTCTTTCGGTAAGGGGTTTTTTTGGAAACTTAACACAAAGATCCAGTTCGTGATTCTCCTTACAGAAGAGACAGATGACGCATTTCGTGTTGCTTGTGCTGGTTGTCGCAGCAGCAGTTTTCTTTTCCTCAGACAAGCCAGTTGCGAGGGTTCCAGCATTTAAGTGTCCCTCGTCGCTTGGATTAAAATTAGTTCTTCTAGGGTTACTCTTGTTGGTTTCAACTGCCTTTATCGCTTGTAAGGAAGTTACTGGGTTGCTCGATATCCTTGCTTCTCTCTTAAGAAATTTTCAGAATTCTGCGAAGGAAGAGTAGCCATTCTTCACCACTCCTTCCTTCGATAATGGAATTTCGTCGTCCTCCTCTAATTGATCTGCAATAAACCTATTGGTCGACAATCCTGCTTCATCTCGTCACCAAATAGCTTGGCAGCTTTCTGATCATCTTTTGTTTTTTTTTTCTGGTCGTTGAGCATATTAAGATACTCAACTGTGTTCATTGCCATGAGACAATGCTGAAGGAAGTTTGTTAATTTCCTTAAACTATGACCATCGGTTTGGTAGGACCTTGGGCCAGTTATTGATTCTCTTACGGTACTGACGCTGTTTAGGGAAAGAATACCACTTACGGATTCTCCCGACGTATATTTGCCCAGATAACATAGTAGCTCAGATGAATCTTTAGTCTTCCTTTCGATGAAGGTTTCAAACGACTTTTTCCACATAGGGTAAATTAGAGTGTGTGCGGAAAACACCTCCGGCTCTGGACGAGGAAGACGATCTTGCCTCTGGGCCAGCACTTCTGCGAGTCTTTTAATCAAAACTTCTCCCGGCGTACTGACAGTGGCGGAGACCTCGGAATGCAGTCCAGTTTTTCGTCAGGGCGAGGTTTCCTTGGTATCTCCTGTGGCGACGGGGATCCAGTAGTGCAAGGCACAGGATAAGATTTAGACTTGCAGGGGGGGGGTGCTCTCGTCGTGTTAACTTTCACATCTACATAACTAGCAGAAGTTGTGTTGGTTGCTGGTAATAGGGAACTGGACGCTGTATTTTGAAGAACACAGTTAAGCTGAGACTCAAGATATTTTTTCAACTGCTCTTCACGACAATCGCCGTTCAAGTGACTGTCATCTTCATAGTGTTCTGCTATCTTGCTTATGCCATCCAGTTCTGCTTTCGTGGCAGCTAATTATTTCATCATTTGTATTTTTTTACTTCGTCTTCTTGCCTTTTCAGAGCTGCAGTCTCCTTGCTCTCCACGTCGTGATAGTTTTGTTCAGCCTGAAGTCAAGGTGCCTTAGCGGCCATCTCAGCCCTCCTTTGAAGTGACGAGCTAAATTCCACAGATGACCTTGGGCGTCTGGAAGTACGCAATTGTTTGCTTCTTGCTGTATAAATTGAGCTTCGGCCATCCTTTTGAGTTTGAGGATTGCGGAAATCCTTTCATTTTACAGCTACGGCCCTTCGATATTTTTGTGACTCAAAGCATCATAATGACTGTTAAGTGCTAATCTCTGTTCAGCTTCTTCGATTTCCAAGGTATCATACAACACTTCGTAAGTGCTTGCAAAATCATCCATACGCACTCTTAACTTTCCTGGTTCCCTCTACAAAGGAGATAATTCCATTGCATCTATGGTCAGAAGGTGGTGAATTTTGTTAACTTGCTTCTTACATCCCTCACGTGAGATTTCAAAGTCTCTTCGTAATATCTGGCGACGGTATTCTTTCATCTTCCCTGTTGGTAGCTTGGGCGACTGCTCATCCAAACAGCTTCAAGCGTGACTCTCTCATTTAAGGGTGGACCTATCCCGCTGAGGTTAAAGTCTTCAGGGTTTTCGCTGGTGCCGACATTGTCGGTGAGAGTATACGTGGCTGTGTCTCTGTTTGCATCGGTATTCTGGACGCTCATCACGTGTGAAGGGCATAGTTTTTACTATTACGGCGATAGGTTGATAACTGAGTAATGTAAAGAAAAGAGAGCATTTCGATACTAAATATTACATAACAAAGGAATCGATCACCCATGTAGTCCATTGGA